CTGAGCTCTTGGAAATTTTAGAATGTTTCAAATTTTACTAGAATAATAAACTCTTTAAAATTAATGTCTACTCCAATTCTTTAGAGGCATTATCACTCATTAATAAACTGCAACTCCCAATCCTTTTCAGTGATTGTTAAGAACATCAAAGATCTCTCCACAAAAGACTTGATTGTCACTTTCAACTATGTCTATAAAAAAGCCAACAATTGCGATAACCTTTTAGCTCACAAAACACATTATATGAAGATTTTAATATTTTTATTTTTGCCAACTCACCTCCTGACTAAAGTTGAGAATACGGGCAAGCCCAGTCCTTAAGGGCCTAAGCCCTATAGCCTGATTCTCCATTTTAAGCCTTATTTTTCAAGCCCAGCCCTTATGTGAAGGGCTTAGGGCTGGGCCCACAAGCTCTTTTTCAAAAAATAAAATAAAATCAAACATTATAAATTAATTAAAATATTTTAAAATTAAAAAATTAAAATTCTCATAATTTTTTAGAAATTAAACAACACACATTTAGAAGTCTAGTAATAAAATTTACCTATTGATTAAAAACAATTCATTTTTTATAAATACACAAACAAAAAAATTATAGAAAAATAAAATATATCATAAATTTTATACTATACACTGATATTTATTAAATTATATTAAATTAATTTTAAAATAAATTAAAATTAATAATAATATAATGATGTAGGATTAAGTGAGCAAGTCATTGATTTTAAACACATGTTTCACCAAAGATGATGATGATGATGATGATGATGATGATGATGATGATGATGATGATGATGATGATAGGGCTTGAAGGGCCGCCCGAGCCCGAACCCTTTTTTACAGAACTTATCAGGGCCAAGCTTTCAAGCCCGATTACTTTAAAAAAATTATTTTTAAAATCCAAACCCTAATTTAAACAGAGCTTCTAAGCCCGTCCCTCCAAGCTCAGCCTTTATTTTTGACTCTACTCCTGATTGTATAAGCCTCATGGCTTCTGATAAGATTAGACCCTAGTCTTTTTACATGATTTTTCTGTGACCTTATATTAAAAAAGTAAAAAAGGTCTTAAATTTGATTGGGAATTCCATGCTTGTTTTAAAGTTGAATAAAATGTATAATTACTCAAAATTTTTAACCAAAAACAATACGATTTTTTTATAAGAAGTATCTAATTCTTCTGCTTCAATATTTTTTTCCCATATTCAATTAGCACATTTTTTGTCATAATTCTGTATTTGGGTTTACATTGGTTGAGGGTAAGCCATCCAACTTCCACATGAAAAGACGGGAGCAATACCGGGAAATGAAGTCATCACTTCCTTGCTAAAATGTCGGAGTTTCTCAAAACCCAAAAAAAAAAAAATAACAATAAATGAATTGCTAAAGAAATGAGATTGACAGGAAAAAATAAGGATGCCATTCTTGCGCTTTTTATTCCATAGCATGATGCATTCTGTGAAGATCTTGTACTATATAATAATAAAAGATTACCACAATTATAGCACTGAACTATAGTCACTAACTTTATGATAGTACTCAAAACGATACAACAACAACAACAACAACAAGCCTTTATCCCACTAGGTGGGGTCGGCTACATGGATTGCAAGACGTCATTGTGCTCTATCATTTATTAAGCTTTTAGAAATATTATTAATTAAGAGATCACGTTCAACAACTTCCAAGAGTGTTCTCTTAGGCCTTCCTCTACCTCTCTTAATCGGACTCAAAGTTATATGTTCCACTCTTCTCACTGGTGCCTCCCTTGGTCTTCTTTGTACATGCCCAAACCATCTCAACCGATTTTCTACCATTTTTTCCTCAATAGGTGCCACCCTCACTTTTTCACGTATGTGCTCATTTCGAATTTTATCTTTACGTGTATGTCCGCACATCCATCGTAACATTCTCATCTCTGCTACTCCAACTTTATGCTCTTGCTGTCCCGTTAGAGCCCAGCATTCACTACTATATAACATTGCCGGTCTGATAGCAGTACGATAAAACTTTCCTTTAAGTTTATTAGGCACCCTACGGTCACAAATAACTCCTTTAGCTTTTCTCCAATTAAACCACCCAGCTTGAATTCTATGTGAAATATCTCCACTGATTTCGCCATCATTTTGAATAATGGCTCCCAAATATCTAAACTTTTCCACTTGAGGTATAATTTGATCTCCCAATTTCACTTCGAAATTATTTTCGAATAGTCCTTTACCAAATTTACAATATAAATATTCCGTCTTACTTCTACTCAGACGAAAACCTTTCGACTCCAATGTCCTCCTCCATAACTCAAGTTTGCAATTAACCTCTTCTCTTGTCTCTGCTATAAGAACTATATCATCCGCAAAGAGCATACATTTTGGGATTTCCTCTTGAATATGTTCCGTCAAAACATTTAAAATCAAGTTGAACAAATAAGGACTCAGAGATGATCCCTGATGTAGTCCAATCTTTATAGGAAAATCCTTTGTTTGACCACTAGGCGTTCTTATACTAGTTTTTACCCCCTCATACATATCTTATATGGCTTTAATATAAGCAATCCGTACTCCCTTTTTTTCCAACGCTTTCCAAAGCACTTCTCTTGGTATACGGTCATAAGCTTTTTCCAAATCAATAAAAACCATGTGTAGATCTTTATCTTTACAACGATACTTTTCCATTAATCCCCTTAGTAGATAAATCGCCTCTGTAGTTGATCTACCTGGCATAAAACCAAATTGATTCTCAGAAATACTTGTCTCCAATCTCAACCTGTGCTCAATTACTTTCTCCCACAATTTCATTGTGTGGCTCATGAGTTTAATCCCTCTATAGTTAGTACAATTCTGAATATCTCCTTTATTTTTATAAATAGGAATTAATGTACTTCTCCTCCACTCATCAGGCATTTTCTTGGACCGTAAAATCACATTAAATAACTTAGTTAACCATCTCACCCCTTCTTCACCTAAACATTTCCACGCTTCGATAGATATACAATCAGGTCCGTTAGCTCTACCATTTGCCATTTTCTTAAGAGCTTCCTTTACCTCCTTATCACGTATTTTTCGATAGAATGACAAATTTTGTTCTCCTTCACCAGTTACTAAATCCTCCAAGTTACTAGATGAATCCTCTCCATCATTGAAAAGTTTAGAAAAATAAGTCTCCCATCTATTTTTAATTTCATCATCTGTAACTAAAATTCTTCCCTCTTCATCCTTAATACACCTTACCTGTTCTAGATCTCTTGATTTTCTTTCCCTACTCTTGGCAATCTTATAAATATTTTGCTCTCCTTCCTTCGTCTCAAGGTTCTTATAAAATTCTTCAAAAGCTTTGGAACGAGCTTCACCCACAGCTCTCTTAGTTTCCTTCTTAGCCATACGGTACCTCTCCCAATTTTCCTCATTGTTACACAAATGTATGGCTTTAAAACAGTTCTTCTTATACTTGATTTTGTCCTGTACACTATTATTCCACCACCAAGACTCCTTATCTCTCGGACCAGAACCTTTCGATTCTCCCAAAACTACTTTTGCAACCTCCCGTATCTTTTTAGCCATATCCTCCCATATGATGTTAGCACTTCCCTGAGAATCCCAAATTCCTTTATCCAAAAGATTTTGCTTGAAAATATCTTGCTTCTCACCTTTTAATTGCCACCACCTAATCCTTGGTGTTACTACTTGTCGACGTTTTTGAATTTTACTCATAATACACACATCAAGGACTAGGACCCTGTGTTGTGTCGTTACAGCATCTCCAGGGATCACCTTACAATTTTTACAAAGTTTTCTATCTATGTTCCTAACCAAAAGAAAATCAATCTGCGACCTTGAGGCTCCACTTTTGTAAGTGATGAGATGCTCATCTCTCTTCTTGAAACAAGTGTTGGCAATTTTAAAATCATATGCCAATGAGAAATCAAGAAGAGTTTGCCCTTCATTGTTTAGCTCTCCAAAACCAAAACCACCATGCACCCTCGCATACTGACCAGCTTCCCTCCCGACATGCGCATTAAAGTCTCCTCCAATAAAAATCTTTTCACTCTGTGGTATGTGTCGAATCAACCCCTCCAGATCCTCCCAAAATAATTCCTTAAGACTGGCTTCTGTCCCGACTTGCGGCGCATAAGCGCTAACAATATTAACAGTCTCACGTCCAATTATCATTTTTAAAGAAATAATTCTGTCTCCAATTCTGCTAACTTCTACAACGTTCTTCTTCCACTCCTTATCTATAATGATGCCTACTCCATTGCGTGCACTTACTTTTCCTGTATACCAAAGTTTGAAACCTTGAATATCCTTAGCTCTTTCTCCACGCCATTTTGTTTCTTGCAAGCAAAGGATATTGATTTTCCTTTGAATCATAACCCCTACAACCTCTACAGATTTACAATTTAATGTCCCAACATTCCAAGTACCAAATCTAATTTTGCTCTTATGGGCTAACTTCTTTAGCCGCGTGCGTCCAGAATGACGCGGTAGCCCTTGCTCATTTAACACTACATCCGGGCGCCGATGCAGCGGCTCTAACTCACTTATCACTGTACTCGAGCCATGCAGCGCGTTACTTACGGGCAACGACCTAGCATTAACATTATAACGTCTATTGTCCATGTTCATGATAGATTCAACAAATTTTTACATTGGCTGTTGATGGCCTAACACAACCCTCCTCCTTTACCCGGGCTTGGGACCGGCTATAAACATAGGCGGAGTTTGAACCAGGAACTTTTAAATCAGGAACTTTTAAAACGATAACATGTAATATTTCCTTCATTTGAACCAGGAACTTTTAAATCATCACCGCGAGGGCTGGGTGGAGTAAGACTCATATATTACATATAATTAATAACTTTTCCTGATTTAACACACACAACTTCAGCCTCCCATGGATTACATTCTGCTAGAGTGGAAAAATCTGCAGAAACGGTTCTGCAGAACCAAAGCCAAGTTATAGGAGTCACGAACAAGAACAACACCATTGACCATAAGGTGGGGTTAAAAAGAGAAGTGATGACTGATGATTTTTCCAGAAACTATATATTCAGATTATATGTTACATCAAGTATGTGTAAATATGAGGCAATTTCTAGTGGTTAGAGAGCCAAATTACATCCTGGATAGCAGAAGCAGCCAGCAGCAAACAGCCTATGAAAGTGAAGGCTATTGAGATGCCTACATGGTCACAGAACTTATGCAGAGGCTTACAGAAACTCGGCAGAGCTGGATGCCTGATTCCAGTGTGATTCAGATTGGTCACTCCAGAAGCAGCAGAACCAGCGCTTATCAGTGCATAGGCAAATGCCTGCAATTTTTGGGCACAACACTGAGTAATAGTTAAGTTGAACCAACGAGTTAATAACCCAATATCTTCATCAAGTAAATGACGGATTCAATTTCAGTAACTAAGGATACACCAGTCCAACTCGAACTTTAGCACAGTTGTTGACAAGTAAGGAACAAAAAGAATATGTAAAACAAGAAATAATTGCAGCAAACGCGATCTTAATTGTTTCGTCGCTTTTTGCTCTATATTCCTGTTCCCATTTGTTTTTAATCACAAGAACCTTACAATTGTATAACTCATTTTACCTGATCCCCAGCAAATATAAGCCATGCGTGATTTCTTGAGGGAATCATAGGAGATTTCTTTAGCAACCGTGATGTACCAATGAGTAGCTGCAGCAAGGAGTGAGCCGCAACAGCAGCAGAAACACCAACAAGATATCTGTGCAACACAAAATTAATGAAAATGTTTTGGTGCATTTTAACCAACTGTACATGTCACAGTCCCATGCTCAAAAATATCGTTAAGCATCATGGGACGGTGACATGTACAGTTCTGGAGTTAATACGCCTAAATACATCCAATCAAGAACGTTCCCTCTTATTTGAATCAATATCTTGATATATGTAAAAAATTTTATGACAAGATCTGTTATTAATAGGTAATAGCTAATCAAGATGCGGCTTTGTTTTGTTAATAAAGAAAAGTGACTTGTACAAAGATGAATAAGTCATACGTGGTCAAAGGAGAATTTTCAACTCATCCAATGTGAAAATGGACTCATTATAAGCTTTAGGTTGACATGTTAGTAAGCACTTAATGAGTCAAAATCAGGCACATTAAATTTCTTAATTGAATGTAAAGGGAGTCTAGATCTTTCAAAATATGAATTCTATAAAATGCCTTTAAAATGAGCGGAGTGGTACGGAAAAAATTTGAAATGTATGTCAATTTTACTTTACTGCTCAACACACACTCTCCATTTAAAAAAAAATCTCATTTTAAAATATTTTAATCTTTACACTTAAAAAAAATATAAATTTACAGCTAAGCAAAAAATATTGATGATATTATTTTGTTTTCTTGATAAAGAAATCAACAATATTATCAATTAATTACATGGTAATTCAACATTATACAAACCGGCCTAACCTAAGGCTAGCCCGGCCCACTAACAAGCAGTACAGCCAGCTACATTTTTGTCAAAACAGGGGCCCACTAACGAGAAGTATGGCCAGCTATAATTCTTGTCACGATGAGGAAGGATAGAAAAGGTTAAAATCTTCGGTTGATTTTTTTAGTTTCCCACATGTATTCTTGCTTTAGAAATAACCACTTTGGAGCATTACCATGTACTAAATATAACTATCTCTCAACAGAGATTCACATCATGACTCGCCATTTTATAAAAGACTAGCCCTTTGTTAGACCTAAATCTTTTTAGTTTCTTTTGTTGATTTTAACAACACTAAAATGCATTTCCAAATAAAGGAAAGCACTCCCTCCATGCAATAGAAAATATTACTCAAGGTTACTCAAAAAAATTACTTCATCCATCCTAAATTATAAAATAATCTTGGAGAAATTTTATTGTCTCAAAATATAAAATAATTTTATAAAAAAAGATTTAGTCAATGATATTTTTTCTAATATTACCTTTTAAATAGAGAGAAAATTAAAATGATTATAGACTTAAAGCTATACTAAATGAAAGGTATTTTTGAAGTTTTATATTTTATTTTTAAAAATATTTTTTGTAAATTTTTATTAATATGCTTAATTTTATCTCAAATTATTCTATAATATAGGAGAGGAAGGGAGAGGAGGGAGGGAGGGGGGAGAGAGAGAGAGAGCATTAGTCTAGGTTGCTCCAGGCCCACGCAGGTTTCTTGCTCTGTTCATGGTTATGTTTGTGTTCGGAAGTAAACAAAGAGGGAAGTTCAAATTTTTCTTGCACCGTGAAATCAGGATTGATAGGAGACAGGGGAAAAGAAAAGTGTTAAAGATGGGAAAAGAAAAAGAAAAATTCCATCATGGCATCACGGGTCAGTTTCTTTCTATTCAAATACTCTTGACAGTCGAAACGCCAAATCCAATGGCAGTTTCGTCAAAACGAGGTGAAGTGCACATTCACATGACACACAATTACAAATCAGGGGAAGACCCCACTCTCAACAACAATTTCGTCGATTCTCGGATGGATCCAAATCACGCCAGCAGTAGACAAATTATAAAAAAAAAAAAAATTCAAGATCGAAAGCATGAATATGAACTCTTAAATTATGGCATCACAATGTGATTGGAAAGGTAGCGAAGAAATTGCAGTGAACTAAACAGGAAACACGAGAAAATAGAAATTACTCTCGATTCAGAATTGAATTCAATTAAAGCTTGTTCTAAGAAATCGATTGAAGTGCAAAAAGTTCTAGTTTCTTTCAAGTTCTCGTGAAGGAATAATAGCTGTGTCTTACTTAAGGGTCGTAATTTCGATTTTCCCCCTCCTCTCTTCTCCAAAAACAGTTCAAAAGAAAACCAAACCAGACTGGGAAAAACGAATCAATCTCATTTTCTCAGGATCAAATCAGAAAACTAGCGAAACGCAATTAATGAAAAGAAAAACGCAATGACATAAAATTATAATCCACCAATAATTAAAACACTCAGAGAGGAATAGAGGATCAGATCCTGAAACATCAAAAAAAAGTTAAAGAAGCTTACTCGAACGACTCAGAGTATGACCACTTGGAGAAAACCGGAAGGTGAAAGCCATAGATGGAGACAGAGCTAGCTTGCTTGGCCGTCACCATGAACGAAAGTGCGATCACTGAACTGACCACGCATAACAGCCTCAGAATCACGTGTATCGCGTCAGCTTTCCAGCGGATCCCGGCGGAAGGTCTGACGAGTGAGCGGCTCATTGTGCCATTCTCCAGCACCACCACCACCTTCTCCTCCTCCGGTGTTTTTTGTTCAGTGACCATCTCTGAGTGGCTTTTTCGTTGGAGGTAGAAGGAGTTTCTGGAACGTCCTGTTTCGCTATTTTCTTCTCTTTGTTCTATAGCACCGTTTCTGAGAGAATAATAGTGTGTATAGCTGTGAATAAAAATGGCAACGACTATATGGCTGTATGAATGGGGCTTCACAGTTCAGGAGAGGAAGGTGAAATATTCGTGAGCAAATCCCGCACTTCCCTCCGGTAACCTCCCCTGCGGTTTCTGCATAGTACACAAGAGACAAGTGGATTATCATTTTTTATTTTATAAACTAAAGTTTTGGTGAGTTGGACGGTGGGACTCACATCACGCTTCCAATCTCGCAAAATTATCGGGAGAATTTCAATATAAGATAGTAGATGGGATTTAATTATTAGTGAATTTTAAAAAGGTTTGAAATTTTAGTTTAATTAAGAAAAATTAAGATAAAAATAATTTTAATAATAAAAATATCAAACTACCTATCACACCTCAAACTTTCGAAGCATGATTAGTCAAGATATAAAAAAACTCATATTCCACAAGTTCAAATCCTTAACACATCTAATCTAACATATTAATTATAATTTTATCAAACAATCATCCTTTATATCAATCAATTGTTAATAAGAAAAAATATTTAAATTTATTGTAAAAATTTTGGTAGAATCTTTATTGTAAATTGGAGCTTTCAAAATTTCTAAAACCTGCCAAAAAGAATATCCAAACAATATTTAGAGTTATATTCCAATGCAGTATGTATATACACACACACACAAACCAAAATACTTTAAGCAAGGATCCTGTCTATATGATTTGTGGAGTGACTCTAACAAAAACAAAATGTTGAAATATTTATATTAATCCACAACATAATTGAAGCAACAAAATGCTTCTTATCTTTAGAAATCCTACAAGATCTACTGAAGAGCAAGTCTACTTTTGTTATTTGAATAAAAAAATTCTTTCAATAAATAACATTTCAAAATAATAATAATAATAAATAAAAATGATAACCATAAACATATACAATAGAAAATAAGTGATTAATTTAATTATTAATGGTATTAGAAAATAATAACACAATTTATCTTTGATAATTGAGTAACAAAAATAGAAAGGAAAAAATAGATAATCAGAATCAACAAATTAAGAATATATCTTTTATATAAAACAAATAATAAAAATATAATTTTTAAGAGCGAAAATATAACTTGAAAAACTTATTTTCTATTAAGACTTGAACAAAATGAATAACTAACGTAAACACACAATCTACGAGGGCATGTAACATCCAATGCGGTTAGAAGTCATGAAAAATAGGCGTAAGTATACAACTCATGAATACGGGCATTGATTATATCCATAAAATTACATCATTCCTTTCACATATGCTGGCTGACATACGGGGCTAGCATCTCCAATGTACCTTGTGATTTAAGTATACCATAGCACACTAAGGGTTAATAAAACTGTTGTTAGCAACTAACATTTTGTACTCAGTCTTATAAAACATTTTCTATCATGCATGGAATCCAAAAATCGTTATAATTCAAATTTTTTCTTTAACTTGTAAAGTATAAATAACTTTTGAAAAAATTAGCTCAATAACCTCAAAAAATACAACCCCCATAAATTATGAATGAGGTTTTTGAATATTTTAGAATATGGTTCATTCATAAAATTAATTAGATTTATTTTTTTATTCTTAAAATAAATTTATTATTAAAATAGAACATTTCTAATTTAACTAATCTTTAACTGATTGGATCTTTTATTTTTATCATCAAAAATTATATTGTACATACTCCCTTTCTGATTTATTATCTATGAATATTTTCTTCATTAGATTTTTTAATCTGATTTTCTCGAATCATTATATTCATCTCCATACAATGCTTCTCTTCATCCAAATTTTTTATCTAATTTGCCTAGATCACTATCTTTATAGCAAAGCTTTTCCACTCTTTCTCTTTCTGTTTTTTCTAGATATTACTACAAGGATATTCGACATTAAAGAGAAAACTCCATTACTAATCTGTAATATTATATCATTGATAGGCCATTCGACATTGAAGAGGAAACTTCATTACTAATTTACGATATTACATCATTGATATACGTCTGTATATCAATAATAAATAAATTAATAAGTTTTCACTGATATGACTTATATATCAGTGATATATAATAGTATATAAATGATATACTATTATAGATCAACAAAACTAGACAATTAGACATAAACTTATTTATAATTGATATACAGTCGTATATTAATAATTTAGTATCGCATATCAATAGCAAAAAATATATATAATTATTTGCTTAAAACAGATCAAATATATTCCATAAAAAATTTTAGACTCTTAGCTTATTATAGAAAATTAAATACCTAAACTTATAAAATAAAAAATTATGAATCTATAGCTCTGTTTCCCCGCCAGCATGCTCCATTCCATCAAGTGCCATCAATGAATCTCACTTCGCGTTTGTCTCTTGCCATCGTGACTATGGCTCACCCACACTGTTCTACTATCTCGCGTTCATCTCTCTCACATCAAGTTTCATTTTCTCTCTTGCATTTGTCTTTCTCATTTTAAAAATTTCCTACATTTTAAATCTCCTGGTATTTCAAAAAAGCATACATTAAAAAGGGCAATTTTATAAATTAATTATAATTTAAATATTAAAAAGGTCATTTTGAAATTTAAGAAAGGATAATCTTTTTTTTTTTTTACTTGCTCTTATAATATGGACTATCTGTGCAAAAGTCCCTTAACTTTTTTATCTACAATTTATTTGATTTATGCATATGTAAAATTTTTAAGAAAATGTAATACCATGAGAATACCTACATAATTAAACTCAAATAATGAATAAGCTAATCACATACTTTAAATCAACTTAATCATAAGGTATAATAAGAAGATATGTTTATTACAATTAAAATAAATAAAGTAAGAGAAATATCATCACTTCTTTTTATTAGGAAACGTTGTTTACTTACCTAATATATCACCTAGTTTCAAAAAATTTTCCTTATAACTACAATCAAGCTTTCGCTTCTTTTAATAACCCTATCAAATATAATAGAATTTTAATAAATTTTTTATCACGTGAACAAACTCTCTCATCACAATAGTACAATCACAATTAAGTTTAATAAGTCAAAGTTCATCATTTATTATCATTTAAATCTTCAAAGTTCATCCTTCAATATACATAAATTTCTAAATGAATCAATTAAATCTCTTTCTCTTATGATTACTAACACAATTATCATGCTTTACAAAACAAATTCCCATCAAGAGTCAACTTCAATTTAGGAAAATCAATTTTGTATCCATCCTCTCCCTCTCTTATAATGATCACAAATACTCAAATGAAACTACCTAGCAAAATACACCCCTTAATCTCCAAATTCCAGCTTTGTTAAATCATAAATATACTCTTATTCACATATCAAACAAGATTAGAGAGGAAAATTCTCAATTTACAACAACCCAAATAACACATGGATGAGCATTATGAAAGAAGGGAGAGAGGTTTCAAGCAAACTCACACCAAAACAAGCTAGAGGAAGGGAAAATGGAAGAACAAGTTTAGGCAATAGGACAAAGATGGCTTGAACAAGGAAAGAGAAAGCCTTCAGTGGTTCCATTGCAACAAATGAAGAGGAAAGAAGAAGACCGACGATGAGAAACAGGGGAAAAACAACCACCCAAACAGACTTCTTGCAATAGCAATGGCAGATGCTTCTCCAATCACTAACAACAAGTTGAACGATGAGAAAAAAATGGAGAAGGACAATTGAATGATATGGTTATGAGTTCTCTCGCAAGTTCACCCTCTTTCAAATGGGGAGAGGGTTCCTCGATTTCTTTTCTCTCCTTTTTCCACCCTTTTGCAATCCTCACCATTCATCAAATTTATAATTCAAATAAATTCATTTAATAAAATAAAATCAATGGTGGGAATTGGAAAAAAGGAGAGAAAAGAAAAGGCGGAACCCCTCTCCCCTTTCAAGTGAATTGGGAAGGATAATCAAGAGAGGAGAGAAATGAAAAGGAATAAGATTTTACTTTTGCTTTATTTTGTTTTGTTTTGTTTTTTAATTATTTAGAAGGCATGACAGAAGTTTCTAGAAGCTGAAGTAAATAGAAATCATTTTATTTTTTTAAGTTATTACACTACAATGCGAAATCATTACTTATTAATTTTTTTTTATTTTACTTGTTAATTTACCAAGATGAATTGTAAATTACATCCGTTTATCAGACAAGCAATAATATTAGTTGTTAAGTTGCTAACTTTACTTATTAATTTACTAACATTAGTTTTAAATTTAATTATTGACATGTAAATTCATGTAATTTACAACTCATATTCATAAATTAACAAGTAAAATAAGAAAACTAATAACTAATGATTCTGCATAACAAGTGAAGGGTAGTTTGATATTTTCACTATTAAAATTATTTTCACTTTAATATTCCTAAACTAAACTAAAGTTTCAATTTTTTTTAAACCCACTAATAATTGAGTCGCATCTATTTGGAATTCTCCCAAATTATTTCTTCTAGTCCTTAATATAACTTAAATTTAACTAACTTTATGTTTATTTAAAAATATTAATTGTAATTTTAAAATTGTAAAAGGGTAATAAAAACAAGTAACTTTTCAATTTTACTTTTTTAACAATTAATAACTATAATAAATCATTGTTTAGAAATTCAAACCATGATCAATAAATAAGGGTAAAATATTTTCTTCTGCAAAATATAAACAATTGTATGAGACTGAAGTGTCATCGTTTAGTTGGTGACTGTTATTTTTATTTAAATTTCTTTCATGCATTTGTTTTAAATTTTATAAATGTTTTAAATTTAAAAATATAAAAATAAGTGATCATTATAAAATTATTTTTATTGGTAAGGCCATACTCTTTAATTTATAGTTTAATGTGTGTATATTTTGTTGTCAAAACTTTTTAATTTTACCTAATATTTGAAAAAATTTGAAGTAAAAAAAATATGCTCCCTTATTTATTTCATAGCATACAATCTCTCCCTCCACCCTCTCTCACGCACAAATTCCCTCCATATTTTCCAAATCTTCTTCTAAATGATATAATTTCTATAAAAACATTTTTGTTAGAATAAATAATATTCAAATTACTTTCGTTACAAAAAATAGCATCAATAACTTGTCCCATCGCACAGGCTATAATCTTATTGTAAAAGAAAATTAATTATTCTAACTTTACTTACAAAAGTTTTAAAAATTTGCCTTATATTAAAAATATGAGGGAGTATTAGTCACTACAAATGATTTTAAAATAACCAATGAAAGCACTTTTTTTGGTTAAAAAAATCATTGCAAATTGCATGATAAAATAAGAGACTAGCATGATATTTCTGGAGGTATATTAATTAGGAAAAAATAATCAATATTATTTAATTAAATCCAACTTGCTGAAAATAACATTTATATAACTGCACTCCAATAAAATAAAATTAACGTAATGAAATAAGTATCGAGATACTCTTGAGAAAGGGACAAACGATCGTTGCTGGCTAGGTTCCCACAATCCCTAACATTCTATTTGGTTTAAGAGGAGGAGAGGGATTTCAATGAAAGAGAAATATTTTGTTTGGTTTAGGAAAGGAGGAGAGGAAACATAAATATATATGGACCACTATATCCTTACCTTAACTAAATTATTTTTTCCTTATTTTTTAAATTTTAAACAAAATATATTTGTGAAATTTAAAAAAGCAAGGATAAAAAATTAAAAATATACATCTCACCACCAATGAATTTTTTTTAAAGATCAAATATTTATATTAAAAAGATAAAAATATAAAATACAATAAAATATTAGTTAATATAAAATACAAGTTAATATATAAAATGCACTAGCAAAGACCACGATCTAAACGGAGGGAGGATACCACGACCTAGACAGAGGGACAAGCAATAGTGGACGATGATCTAAACAGAGGGAGCGGCAATGGCGGTGCGAGTTAGGGAAGAGAGATGACAACATGAGCGGTTGTGAAGAACTTCAATGCCAATGACAATCTGAGCAAAGGGAGCAATGATGGTGGCATGTGCTAGGAAAGATGGACGACAGGTTGAGTTGTGGGAGATAGACACTGTAGCAATTTGGGGGAGAGGGATGATGGCTTGAGTTGGGAGAGGCACAGATGCAAGAGGGTATTTTCAAATTATTATATTATAATAAGGACAAATTAGTCATAATAAGTTATATTCTATCCCTCCCCTCCTCAGCTCCCCATTTTGGAGGGGAAGGTTTAAAGAGAAGGGGAGAGAAAATTTTAAATCCCTTCATTTTCATTATCTAAACAAGGAAAAAGAAGCAAAATCCCTCCCCTCCCTTCCTCTTGAAACAAACAAGGGGCAAGTGGAGCTAGTTGCAGAATTATTGAAACGCTAGACTCTAGAGCTACTGATCAACCAAGCACATATCATTTCTAAATCAGAAGTTTGCATAACTTCTTCTATACCATATTTCCTTTGGTGACGGGGGATTTTGAAGATGGATTTCCAATCTCTTACATGACATGCATAATTAAATTTATATGTTTCTTTTTATATACATACATATATAATATATTTATAAAAACTCACACTATCTATAAAATATAAAATATGATTAGCACCATCGACTATATGAGTTCTCTTGAAGTATTAATTATCCTAGAATGAAAAAGACATTTTTTAGTAACTTAGTATCACCTCTTCCTCTCATAACTTGTTTGGTAAAGCACAAAATAAAATATCAAACTAGAGTTGGTTGAAGTATTTTCAAATTATGCTATTACTTGAGTTCTTCACTGATTAGAATTTTTTTCCTCCAAAAAAGATGCAAAGAGTATATAATGTTAAACTAAAATCAATGATACCGTTTACACGTCTTTAGAAGTGTGGCTTACATTACTTAGACTCTCTGAATAATTCACATAATCCAATATATATTTTCTATTAAATATCTCACAACATATGCTTAAAAAAATTAAATTAAATTTGTTGTCAGATATTATAATTCTTTGGCCACAAGATATTTAATAAATCACCTAGAATATGAGTATGACAAATAAGAATATATTCCCACAACATTTGGCAGTCCAGAAAATTGATCTAGGTGATGAAATGATAAGATATCAGAATTCCTCATAGCTCAGATCCTCAGAGTAAAAATTCCAACTTAACTTCGATGCACAGCACAGGACATGACAAACCTCTCGAATGATAGATGAATAGCTGCCAAGCTTATTTATTTGGTTACAATAAGGCGCATGATATAGCCCGGTTCACAAGAACAGACTAATCTAGACACCAAACATCAAATCCATTACTTTCGAAACCACGGATTTTGCTGGGGAAGCTATTGCACCTGTTGTTTGCCGAGCGCTTGCATTGCCATTCTGAAGATAAGGAGGAGATCTGTATGCGTTCCCTTCTAAGGCTCTAGCAGAGGGTGGAGGTAAGGGCATAAATCCCTGATTGGAAAGTCTTTCATTTAAAGCTTGACGTTGCAAGGGATCCAAAGACTTTACACCCACTATCAGGGCTCCATTAATTTGCATCCCATTCTTGTTTAGAGCTTTTTGAGCATCAGATCGATTCTGCATCAGTAAATGAAGTTTAACAATCGGATGAAAAGGTGCGAGGCACTACATAAGTAGAGCAGGATCATACAGGAATAATACATAACGCAGATGATTATATCATAATCATAGTTCATGGAAGTATTGATTGCAGTATTTGGACAAGCAACACAGTTGGTCAGAACATAGCTTTAAAATAATAATTAGATAAACAAAGGCCTGCCATGCTGTTATAACATGGATCTATCAATTATTAATAAAATTATTTTGAAAAATATAGTTCTCATGAGCTTCCATCAGATTTTACGCCCAATGAAGTGTGTCATAGACAAGCATTCCTATTTGAAAAACATACTTTATCATATGCAACGTGGCTGCTGCTTGATGCAACCATACTGATGGTGACCAAAAGTGGAAAAATGCAGCATGCAACTAATGCTTTATAGTAAAAATATATTTATGATGTTTAATTGAGAAAAGAAGACAAACCTGATATAAGATGTGCATCCAGTTAGAATCCCTGGGACCAGGAACATGTTTCAAAATTACACCACATTTTTCGAACTCTCTTAAAACTAAATTAGTGTCACCCGGAGAAAACCTGCCGAGTGCGGGGAAAGAACCTTGTTACAAATGTGTTTATTGGTATATGACAAAGAAAGTAAATGCCATTAACTAAATGAGTTGGCATACCTAAGACTAATTGCCTGCCAACTAGGCAAGAAAGATGCCTCACTCAGCGTAGCAATATTTTCTTTACCTAACAAGTTGTTTACTTTAGTATCTCACATATTGTTATGCTTTGCCTATTTGTTCTGGCTTCTGCAGTTCTTGGTTTCTATCATTAGGATGTCTCACTTTCTGCTCGTGTAACTCCTTCATTTCCTAACCTAATAGCACTTTTTATCTAGAAAGGTCTACTACCGAGAATATATTGGTTGTAAAGATCTTAACAAAATATTTTTCAGGATCCCTTCTGCCGTTGAATCTCATTCAGGCAATGGCATCTTGTATTTTCTTGTCAATATAAGTTGTTACTTATCAAAATGCCTCGAGACCCTCATTCCCAAAGGCCATAAGAAATATAAAACGAATGAAGACAAGTATCATTAAAATTAATGGACAATTATCGCTTCACTTAAATTAAACCTACATGCATGGCAGTTCATTTGCAAGTCCTTGAGAGATATACAAAATTCAAGGCTCGCTCATCAAGACATCCAGAAAGCAAAGGCTGCATCCAATTTACGCACAAGTTTTAAAATCCTCTGAACTTAATCTAAGATCAAATCTACAGCCAATTAGCAAATGGTTCCCTCTTGACAGGATTTTTGTTTTAACCTTAGCAATTATCAAAACCATACCAATTCAGCATCTTTACTAGTCCAGTAATGCTTCCAATAAAATAAAAAATAGCAGCAATAGATGAAATTCTAGCACTAAAGTTTAAAAGTCAAGACATTACCCATAAACAGTTACCCATTCCTCCTCATTAAGATTCCCTGCAGGCAAGGTATTTCTCTGAACCTCTGTCCTTGCTACTTCCCTTGGTGGAGGGACAGTGACCAAAGCACCAGACTGAACCACACCCTCAACTGGTGAACTCCTTCCCTTCTCATCTTGTTCACCACCATGCTTAGCAGACGTAGGCGACCACCAACTCAACCCTGGTGAACTCTGCTGGTTTTGCTGAACAACCTTTAAAGCATAAGATGTACTGGCCTCTGATTTGTTTTTGGATGGAGTAGAAAATTCCCTATTCACAGTTTGGATTGGACTTCTAGGGTCTGACTTAGTTTCAGGAGATATTTGGTAATCTGGTATCCCAGATTCAGGAGAAATATCTGATCTGTCTTCCAAGGTGTAAATAGGAGGTGGTGGGAGGTCTGAAACACTGATGCTCTCACGCCATAGAGAAGATGCTGCAGCTGCCTGACCTGGACTTGAAAATTTTCCTCTCCGGGCCGAAACAGGCGAAGCCAAATCTTGGAAGAATAATGACTGCCTACCAGATCTTGGAGTTCTTTGCACAGTAGTGCTCATATTTTATTCTTTTCACAGAACAGAAATGGTAGATGCATGCCAGTTATCAGATACTTAACGTCAATTTAGATAGCATAGCACACTGTCACAGAGAACTAATAACAACGGAGTGTTTGTGTGTGTGAGGGGGGGTGTTGGGGGGAGATACTTTGTTTAATCAAACCAAATAGATGCATTATTATCAATTAGGCTGAAAAAGTGGAGCTTAGAATAGGAAACTTATATTCGGTAATAAATATTAAACAGACTAATCATATGAGCTACACTCAATATAATTACAAAGTCATTCCCCAGAATGAATAATCGAAGCATATAAAACAACCTGAGCATCTAATGCGTTAATTTTATTCACCACGCACAGCAACCATAGCTAGTACATACCGTGTGCAAAATTTAGTAAGACGTACTTAACATGACAGGTGGAAGCTAAGGACATCAACTACGGATAAAAGGAATACAATAAAATTCGTAGATAAAGAAGGTACTAGCAAATTAAGGCCTCTAGCTATAATCCTCTATTGGGTTCTTCAGGAAACAGTAGACTACAAAAGACCAATTCCATTAATCAAGAATCCATCCAAAATCAAAGGAAAAAAGAGAGAGAAAACAAGTCAATAAGCAAGGACGAGCCGTGTTTTTGAACTGAGCACCGGCATCCTCATATACTTAAAACCATTACTTCACGAACAATATGTGAGGAATTCCCGAGCAAACATGGGGTTCTAATTTTTCACTGGTCTACGTGGGTTTCCATGAAAGCAAAAGGCACAGACACGCACACAAACACATCGAATTGGAGAGGAAGAGAGAGTACCTTGTGGAATTGGAGGCAGAGAGATCGGTGCGATTGATTGAGGTTATGAAATTGGAGGGGTTCTTTCTTCGAATATGCTGGGTATTTTCGCAGAATTTTCCCTCCCTTTGTCCCTTTCTTTCAATTAGACCGTTTGAAAACCCTAAAGCCTTCTCCGTCCTTTATTTATTTTGGAACTCGAAACGACGTCATTGTCTGGGAATAACTTCCTTCTCAATTGTCGTTTTTGAATTCAAAAACAGTTGGCCAAAGTTTTTCATATTGTACATCTATAAAATTAAAATACTGTGTATTTTAGTTTTTATATTCTATTAATATATGTGCGTCATTTTAATTTTTATCTCCCCAGTGCAAAGCATCCGCTCCATTTGTAATTACAGAGACATATTTAAGAAATTTAATACACTAATAACTTATAAATTATTTGAGTGGAGTGATTAATTCCTTTTTTAGGTACTTATAATAATTCTGCTCATAATTCCTCTATTCAGGTCAAGCCCATGACTCTGATGGGTTGGGTGTTGGGCCCAAGACTGACATGCAATACTCATATTGCACAATCTATCATAAGCTCCGTTACGAGTGATCTTCAATTCAATTATAACATAAGATTGTGAATGCCATCACATGGCCTTGTTAAGTTTTACACATGATTAGAACCTTTAATTTGAAATGTATCAAAAATAAAATCGTTAATTCAAACCAAGCCCATAAGTCAATCAGAAAAAATTCAAAAAAAATTAAGAGTCATGTTTAATAAAATAATAATTTTTTATTTTTAGGTTGACTTAAATATATTCAAAAAAATTTGAAACAAGCTCAATTGATTTCTAACTTAGTCTGAATATTTAAATAAAAAATTATTTTTAAAAAAATACTTTTAAAGCAAAATATTGAAATTTGTTTAGAGAAATTGAAAATTTTTAACAATTTAACCATTCGAACCAAATAGGCCCAAACCTGTAAAGGTTGGGACTAAATTTAACTATTTGGACTTTTCTATAGAATTGAGCTCTTGGAGGCTCTATACATGATCGACGTAAGTATTGTAAAGCTAACTGCATTTAAATCTCCAACTAATAAACTTATTGTACACGGGCATGGTAAATCAAAAGTTTTTTTTTTTTTAATCGTTGAAGTAAGACTTCATATGAGTTGAATTTTGGAAGCCCATTAAGAGCAAGGTATGCCTTCAGCTTCAAAAATGTTCACAGCATGTATAGATCGCTCATCAACAGTTCCTTCATATATTAGTAATAAGATTTGATCCTGCAATTGTATTTGTAAGTTATGGGCCGGACAAATTGAATCAACATTTGTCGGGGAATCAAGTGGTTTTATTACAATCTGATCAGGTAATATAGTAATATATTGTTTGATGCATAAAATCAAAACGGAGCAGAAAGAGGTTCGTTTTGGTGAATAGTGTGGAGCTGATGATCTGATGGGGAATCAACCATGGCTGGAGAGTACAAGTTGATGATATTATTGCAAGCTTTCTCCTCCATCATCTCTATCTTGTTCATGCATCCCACTTGCTTCTCAACCACTTTCTCTTCATCTCCATCCATCATCTCCTCCACCTGCTCCAGTCCCTTCATTATTCAACAAATTAATCACTTTGGTCATTTCTCAAGTTCCTGTAAGTTACATACATATGACTCTTTCTTAAAATAAATCAACACAAAGTTCATATTGCCTCTGTGAAAAGAGATGAGGCTTCCTTTGGTTCCATCTTCTGCACTACATCTGCAGCTACTTTCTGCATCCACAAAATAATATTTTGAGTAATTAAGAATTAAGCAAGTGAAACTGTTTTCTGACGGGATCAAACCCAAGATCTGTGCCACTAATCCATGAAGGCTTTGGCACATCGACAGTTAAAAAAAAAATATAACAATTCATATGTTATACACAAACACAATCTCTTTCTCAAAACATTAGTGGACAACAACAAAATGTTTGGTTTCATGTCAGAAAATTGTTGAGAAGTAAAAGTGGAAGAAAAGAGGAAGATGGAAGAAAAGAAAGTACTAATAATTACCCTAGCTTGGGAGATTTGGCCTTGATTTAAGGTCTTAGGCTCGAGTTCAATGGAGCGACGAGTAGTATTTGCCATGTATAACACATAAATCGCAGCCCATATCCAAAATTCAGCACCACAACTTACGAATTATCATCCAATCTCTCCATATATATAGCAAGCTAGGTAGATTGCACATTGACATAGATACGTGGTGTATTAATTAACAGAGGGAAGGATTGAGGATGGAGGTTAGATATTGAATGAATGGAGTCACGGAGTGATTGGACTAAGAGACCAAAAAAGCAAAAGCGAAAGGCAAAGATGATAATATGGTTGAGATCAATCCCGTGGGTCAATTGTGTGGAATTGTTGATGAGTGCATATCTACAGTAATTGTGGCCATTAACAAAAGGGGCTTTCGTTTTCATTGATCACTCTTTAGCTTCCACCATTATTACATGCATGACTTTTCCATTGCCAGCTTTCAATGGCCAGTTCATATATAGGTGTGTAGATGATGAACGAGAGATATTGTAATCTTCATCTCTCTTTTATCTACTCTCATGTTGGCAAACGAGAACATTATACTCCGGGAAGATCTTTCTAGGCCTTTTGCTTTATTAGATTTTTTTTTATATATATATATATATATACTCTTAAGTGTAGATAGTTTTGGAGAGTCAAGTATATATATACAGTTAAATACACACACACAAACACACACCCCTCCAATGCTGCTTGCATCGTCTGACTAAGGAATTGATTTAGTTTAATCAAAAGTCTCGAGTTCAAATATCATAAGTATGCAGCAACGATTAAACTTTCCATAGGAGTAATGCCTTCCATAAAAAAGTACCTGCAAGTTATTGAATAGATTAATCTGGATCAAAGACTTGAGATATCAATGCCAAAAAAAAAATATACTTGTAAAAAAAATGGTTGACTTTTAAATTTTGCCATTTGCTAAAATTAACAATTACAATAAAATGTGTCTAAGAATTACAACTTGATAGGATTAAGGAGGACAATTTTTTTTAAAAAAAAAAAAACTATTATATTTTTGTCCTATATGTAAGCTCAAATATGGGCTGTAAAACTTTACCAACTAATTGAGACTAGAGGAAGCATATAAGTTTTAGGTTAACGTTGTTTAAAAAAACTCTAGAATTTAAGGGTATCAAGTTCATAAGAATTTAAATTTTCCTGCCATAAATCTCTTCTTTGATTTGGCTATATCTAACATGGAACATTTTAATGTAATTCTCATATTAATTCGGATTTGATTAGTTGACTAGGAACAATATACACCATACGTGTGACTCTACCATTGGCCAAGCAAATAAACACTTTTTTTGGTCGCCATTCTTCCCAAAAGGATAATCCCATTTCTCACAAGTCACAAGAGCCCGTTTCTAGTTGGGCTTATTTACTTTGCAAATAAAGGCTAAGTCTCTCATCCTCTTAGAAACATTTATTTCCTCTAAGTGGATACACCGGCAAAGTCCAACTCTCTCGTACACTTCCGGAACTTTCCTTGCCTGCTTTCATTTTCTAAGGCACGTGGAGGGTCACTCATTAATTACCATTTTTTAATTTTATTCTTATTTTAAATTTAATTTTATAACTCTTTATATACTGTATATATCTCCCTTTGTATTATTAATGAGGATAAAGCTATTTTTTTATTTTTAAACATATTCAATGAGTTAATTATTACTTTTTTATTTTTGATAAAATAATTAAAAGTATTTTATAATAAAGATAGAAGGGAGTACGCGCGCGTGCACGGGTGTGTGCACCTATGACTGGCATGTTGTAAATTGACTTTATCCCTCTTGGGCTCTTATACACCCTTTAATGTCTAAACAATGAAACGGAAAAAGGAGTGCAAAATTCAATGAAGGTTTGAACATTAAATCTCTATCACTCTCATCACTTGAAGTACTGATCAACCTCATATGAGTAATATTTAAATAAAAATTAAATCCTAAAATAAACTTATATGTATAATTTTGATAATTATCCTATTAAGATGATAAAATTTTTAGTCCTGTAAATTTGTTTATCAATCATTAATTTTAATTTGATCCCTCAAATTTAATTTTTATTTATTTGTTTTCTTATAAATTGTCTTTGTTATCGAAGAAAAAGTAACACTATTAAATTATGTTGCCATATATATAATGGAATATTGAGTTAGTATTCATGTATAGATTAATGAAAAAAAAACGTATTTATTTAATCAAGAGAAAAAGAAAACAGACTTAAAAATTGAGAAATATAGTGGGGGAAATGCAACGTATAAGAAAATAAGGAAATAAGAGCAAAAGGAAGGAATATAAAAAATAAAGCTGATCTGTTTTCATTTAGTCACATGAGCATGTTAAGTTGTCAACATATTTTACATATAGATATATGATATTAATTTGAAGGCCATTTTGTGTTTTGGAATTTAAAAGACTAATGTGACAATGTAAAAAAATGTATAAAAAAGCTATATTCATAAAAAATAAATTGGAAAAACCAAAAATCATGACTGAGATAAATTTAAGAGACAAAAAGTTTTAATATTATAATTTTTATTGTTTCTAAACAATAACTTTGTAAGACTCGTTATACATTTGAACCAAAAAAAAACTCTAATCATACAATATCTAATTTAAATAAGTTATGAAACTGATCTCTCCACGAAAATGTGAAGACTTTTATTAGCTAGTGTCTATGCATGTTACGATATAAGAATTACTTGAGGCATGAATTATCAATTTCTTTAATTAAAAAGCATTTGCCTTGGTCTCTAACTACACAAGCACGCACGCACAAACATATGCTAATTCGAAAGGCTACTTCTTCTCTCTTTATAGTTTATTCATTTTTATGACCAAAATTTGTACTTAATTATTGTGAAGTCCACTTGATCACAAAGATTCGGCAATTTAATTACGATTGCTCAAGTTATTATGCCAGTGCATCACAACAATATAATAATAATAATTAAGCTTCTTGCTATCATACGAAATATACTATAGCTAGATAGGGGAGCTATAGTCAAATGAATTGCAGGCTTACAGCTAGGGCATGGACATTTCAGTTATTTATACGTAGTTTTATCATATATAACTATAAGCTAATCTCATAGCCATTTGCTTTCTTGGCAATTGCCAAAGTAGTTCAGACACATAACAGCAGATGGACACTTCATATTTATTTCTGTGAAGCTGTCCTAGCTTATTGTATTATGTGTAGGATCGAATTGTACACGAGCATAGGTCTATTGTCCGTTGTTATTGTTATTATTATCATCATCTAAATTGATAAATTAATTTATGATTAACCAAGTGTGTGCCAGATCTATACATCATGTTCACCCACTTCCAATCAGAACCTGATGCTATTCGAATAAAATCACACATTTTACATCTTTACCCACGTGAAGTGGTTGTTACATAAGTAGGCCCATGATCTCCTTAAATTATATATATATATATATATATATATATATATTTTAAGTATATCTTTGCTGCTTGCGAATTGATTTTAGGGTTAATGGTCATTTTAACCCCTCACTTATATTTGTTTAAGAGTGTGTCGTATCCTAAATTTACATCAAGTATAATTTTCTCCTTTAAAAAATTACCTTTTTGACCATTAGTCTATTGACAAAAAATTACATAAATTGACTCAAAAAATTGTAAATAAATACCCTATAAAAATTAATATTGATTAAGGATATTATATGCCTCTGAGCTTAAATATCCAATAAAAAATTAACATTGATTGAGGAATAAAAATGTTATTTAACTCTTGATTTTGACCGGATTGATGTATATAGTTCACTAGCATTTCTTAAACGTAGTTCCATCAAAGTTTTTTGATTAGTTAATTCACTTAGCCTACTCATATTCGTTGGACCATGAATGAATAAATTAAGACTAATAATTACATTTTTAGTCATAATATCTTATAATCAATTTACTTTTCCCCTAAAAGTTTTGCAAGAGAAGATGTAACTCTTGAATCCATGTCATATCTAGTATTGACTCTCAAATTTTCAAAAATTCACTTGCTTTATGTATATTTTTTATTTTCAAAACACTAGAACTTTCCTTGAAGTCATCTATTCTAATACTACACTCACACGTTCTAATAATCGATGGGATTCGGTAGGTGCATTAGGGCTGGTATTGATTGCACAGTCGTCTTGTGTGTGTTTTGACACATTGATGTAACCATTTTTCACACAGATAAAGTGAATAAAAAATTATAAACTACTTATAAAAGTACCACCGCTCACATTTATCTACCTTAGTTCTTTTCTAACCGATATAAAATTCTAGTGTAAATATATTTTTGTAGTAACGTAAGATAAGTCTAGGAGATTAGTTATTAATATTGATGATAAATTAATCTTAGACTTTCATTCAACGGACCCCATTTTGGATGACTTTCAGGTTATCACCTGTAATTACCTTGCAAGGTTTTGACCCTCTCTCACTTCCTTCAAGGAATTATTAAGATATGAAAAAGAAGCCTCGGTTAGTGAGATGATTCCAAAACTTTATTTACACTAATTCCAAGTCATATATCCTTAAACCAAGTTTAATCAAACATCATATTTTTGGTAATTTGCAAATTACGTGTTTAGAATCTCCTTGAACATCTCAATTTGACCGTACCTCTTTGCCCCATTGTAATGCTTCTCCTTTTCACAACACCCTGCTCCAAGCAAGGCACAAACAACCACTAAATAGTTATATATTTTTATTAATACAAAATCATGTTATGACCAGAATTAACTAATGACTTCAACGTTATTCATTAAGATACTAATTAATGATTGATGCCATGTATTTGATTTCCTTTTAATTGTTCCAATACTCGCGTCTTTCAAATATATATATATATATATATATATATAATATCAATATTTCAACAATTCAATCATAGATAAATATATAGCATATATATATAAAAAAAACTTTTATTAGCGTAAATAGGATGGGCTCTCATCAAATAAGTCGTTGGGATTAATATCAAACCAATTTTAATCAGGAAAAGTCTACATTTCACTTTCCATGTTTTAAAGGAGATTAGTTTCATGACCAATAAGTGATACTCACTCCTCCCATCTTTAATATAAGTAAACTTAACCAATTAAATCCACTCTTAAAATTTGTTGTACCAACAAATGCTTAGTTCAACTGGTCGAGAGAGTTGAATTAACTTGTCATAATATATCGTGTTTAAGTTTCTAGAATATACAATATTTAAATAAATATATCAAAAATATCA